CTGCCCATGTTCTTGTAATGTTTCATGTATCCAAGAAGAGCGATAGTTTGAAGAGTTTTACCAAGACCCTGGGAAAAAGACATTCTAGAGAGGCAATGCTCATCACAATATTAAGTGGGGCCAACCATTTCATCAGCAAGGATTCCATTAATTCCATTATGGTATAAAGAGATGAGCCAGTTCAAACCACGGATTTGGTAATCTCTAAAGCAATGTATATGGTTTCTATACCAGAAAAAAGTTCTAAAAATAAAAAAGCAGAAAATAACAGACCTGAGTTCTCCATTCTTGATATAGAAAGGATTCTTGTCAAAGATGGTGATGCTATCTTCTCTATTAGCTGCTTCCACCATTTCTTCGTCTTCCTCCTAACAATAAGAAAATACTAGTTACTTCAAAGTAGAAGCAACAAAAGAAAATGGAGATGTACCTGCTCCGTCTTCCTATGCCTATGATCGCCATCAACATCGGAAGCAGTTCGGCCACGCTTTTTCTTGAGTGGTGAACCTAAAAATGAAATACAGATGAGATCTGTGAAGTGACATTGGTCTATAATAGTAGGACTGATCTAGGGTCCTAAAGAAAGATAATCCATCAGGAAAAATAGAAATTTTGACTGCTATAAACTTAAAAACTAGGCATGATATTTCTTTCATAAATGAAACAATTTTCCCAAACCAGCTACAATATAAGTAACACTGTAAGTATGCATATAGTGCTTTGATATGTCAAAGCTGCATAGTTTACACAATTTTCAACTTTTTTACTGTTCAAAATAACAGCGCAAGATTACTCTCTAAGTGTAAAGTTTTGCCTGCTGAATTCAGCAGAACAAAAAAGAGACTATGGTAGACCTGATCTTTTGTGATTATTGAAAAAACTGGACAAGCTTACCTTTGTATGCGGCCACATCTCCAGCACTCAAGCAATGTGAGAAGTTTTCGGTCTTTTTCAGCAGCAGTTCGAACCGCTTGAACGAATCTGCTTCGAATTTCGATTCAAGGCTGTCTTCTGGAATGCATTAATTGAGGTTTTCAGTACTCAATACTGTTGTGCATTTGTGACTTTCCGACATCTGTATGAGCCGTCTCTTTTTCAAAGCGGACTGCCTGAAACCGCCTGTTGCGCCTATTCCCATAAAATGTCACAATTACCTCCTGCCCAATCGATTCGCGCACCCTGATAGATACAAAACCGATGACAAAAGAGTTTTGCAGTTATTGAACGAATTAATGCTAATTTGACGTCAAATTTCAGCATTTTAGTTCTAACACTTCTTAAGCATGTTTTCAAAATAATGCCATTTGCAAGGTTACGGCAGAATTACTGTGTCAAAACGAGTACGCACCTCCTTCATCAGCTTCCATCTCATCTTCGGCGTGCTCCTCATTTTCCATTTTTACATCTTCTGCTGGTTCTGGCTTTGCCTAAAAAGAGGGTTTTTACTTCGAAAATGAAAGACAAAAGAAAAGATGACTAACCTCAGTCACATCCATCTGCTCCTCCTCGACTTTATTTCCTGCTTCCGCTGACATTTTCTGAAACTTTTAAGGATTTTCCATAAAAGTCAAGATTAACTCAAGAAATAGAACGTAATCGGCCAACAGCACAAAAAATCAGAAAGACGTCGACGCCACGCCAGCTGCGAAATTAGCATCCGCGCCATTTTCCCGCGTCCGAGCAATTTCAAAAGCGGTAATTCGAATAGCGTGTGATCGCAGACAAATGCGAAGGAACCCGGAATTTGACGCCTAATTCTTAACTGACAGCCAAGTGTCGCATTCCGGTTTACAACACCTGTTTAGCTCAGCGAAAATGTCACTTAATTCTTGTTTTTTGTCCAGTTCGCCAAATTCGGAAATGTTTCAATTGTTTCCATACGGTCTGGGACAGTTCGTTAACTTTTTATCTTTCTTTCTAGATGGAAATCGATGATGGGGAAGGTTCGTCTTCGAATGGCGATGAGCTGGAAGAATTGAAAGAAGCACGACATTCCGCGTGAGTTCTTCATCAGTCTCTACTGTGTTGCGATGTCCTGCTAAAGTCAGACATTCAGCTAGTTTTTTTCAGGGTTTTAGATTTGGATTTTGATAGTGAACAAGCAGCACAAACTATATGTCGAGTTGTTAGTGTTGATAAAGAACCGAGTAGAAGTAATGCAGTGCGAAGCTACAGTGTGAATGGATCTCATTTGCGGATGTAGGTATTATCTCTCCTTTTTTCCCCTTATGTTCTAAGCACAAATTTGTTTTTTATGAGAGCTCAATTTTGATTGCTTTTTCATCATGTAGTGGGGTTAACATTATCTTATTCTATGCTCTTCATATTGTGCTTTGTCAGTCTTTTTGTGCCAAACATTCAGCTTGGTCTACTGATTTCTTTTGCGTATGTACCTTGTCACCAGGAAAATAAATAACTCGCTCACCAGTACAACAAAAGTTTCAATTTCGAATAATATTCGCCGCATTATCTAGAACCTGCTACTATGCTGGAAGCTTCGTCAACATGTACCTTTC